TACATGGGGATAAATGCTTTACAGTGCCACGGTTGTGGGAAGAATCAGAGTGGAGAGGAATCCAATGCAAAGATTATGGGGAGAAAGAAGGGATTTCACTTTTCAACTTCTCAGCCCCAGAGTTCAGGGGTATTGAGAGCTGGGGACTCATCTGAGTTCAACCTCAGCTTCTTTCTCATTTTGACTGGGTTACCAGTGTATTTAGTTATGCTCTGAATCTCCCAAGGTCTCCCTTTTAGTCCTACTCCAAACCCTATTAGATCTGCAGAAGACAAGCACTTGGTACCAGGGCTGTGTGACAGAGTCCTGATCTGAGAACCAAGAAGTTGGAGGAGTCCACCATGAAGAGGGAAGCTCAGAGAGAAAGGGGCTGGGGACAGCCCCAGTCACTCTGATGCTGTCACTGTTCCCATTGATACTGAATCAGTTCAAACAAGATCAACCTAGAGGGGACAAAATAAGGTTCTCGTTTGCCTCTTGCCCAGCCGGGGAAAGTTCAGCACCTAGTTAGTCTAGTCTGGTTAAATTCAGAAAATCCAGCCTTGAATTGCTATGCTCCACTGTTTCAGAATGGCTTTGTCTCGGACTGCCCTCTGCAGATGATTAAATGGCACACCCCTTAATCACCTGCTTTCTACCAGCATGCGGATGTTCAGGACACTGCCGGGTTCCAGGGAGAACGTCTCACCATGATCCAGGAGAAGCTGAAGCAGCTGCTGCCTGAGGTTGAGGTAGATCCCCGTGCCATATCAGCCTTGCTCTGTGGTTCAGCTGCAGCCGTCCTGGTGCTGAAATGGGTGGGGAGGAGACAGATCCAGGAAAAGATGGAAGAGGCAAGGAGGACACGGGATCTGGGCCTGGAACGAATGGAGCAAGTGGCTTGGAAGTTTAAACAGAAGGTAACTCTTTACTTTTAGAGGGTGGTGGCTTCTTGTCGCCTGGAGAACGTGTGGGGAGGTTGGCCTGATCTGATCCCAAAAAGCTCCTTAGGGAAGGAGCAGAGTGCCACACTCCCAGCAGAACCTCCCTGAGGTTTGTCAAGGTTGCAAACCACTGTTCCCTTCGATCTGTGACAACCTCTTCCCCAGCAGTCCAACACCACCCCACATAGCTTCATCTCTGCTCTGTGCCTCCCCTCCCACTATGGGATGCAAAGCCTGTGTCTCTGCTTAACACTTGCATACAGGTAGAAAGCTCTAGGTTCCTCCCACCTAAGAACATACTTGGCTTTTAGATGCTAAAATCCTTCAACCCAGGATGTCAAACCAGCTGCAGAGTAATCCTGGCATCAGCCTGACCACACACCAGCACAGTCTAGCACACAGGGCCATGTTAACAAGTCCACACGCTCCCCACGGATCTGAAAACTTGGCAGCAGGGGAGTGGCAGTTAGCACTACTGTCATTCCCTCATCACCAAATTCCTGTACCCATGGGAAGCCCTGTGGGCTGGATGACGTGGCTCCAAAGGCTGGATTCAGCCTGCAAGCTGGAGGTCGAACACCATAGGGTTAGTTGGATGTTTGTGGTGGTTCAGTTCTGTATTTGTTAGCAGGAGCTTTTATGTCAGCAAATTTCTTAGTTCTGCTAAATGGTCTTTTTTTTTTTAATACTCTTTTTTGAAGTTATCTTGCATCTAGTTGAAACCCATTCGGCTAATGTAGAGCTCATCATCTATCGGGAAGATGACTTCACAGGGCAATTTAAAATCATTTCCATTATTCCAGGGCCCAGATTGGTACAGTTTCCCATTTCTTTCTAGGGCTTTGTTCCTTGCTAGATTTTTGATTGACCGGTAGTTGTTTGTTTGGATCTTTTTAGGAATAATATAT